CCCGACTCTCCGCCCTCCTCCGCATCTCTCCCGCGCTGACGTGTGCTTCCCCCTTCCCTTGCAGGTGCACCCTTCGGTTCCCTAGCACGGCCATCAAGATCCAGTTCACGTCGCTGTACCGTCAGGAGGAGGCCCCGGCGTCTCCCCTCCGGCCCCTCTACCCGCAGATCTCCCCTCTGAAGATTCACATTCCGGAGCCGGATCTCCGCAGCCTGGTCAGCCCCGTCCCTTCCCCGACCGGCACCATCAGGTGAGCGGCCTGCCCTGGCCTGTCCGCGGGCCGTGAGCCCTTGCCACGCGGTCCCCGCCACAGAACCAGGGTCCCTGCGCCCTGACAGTCTGTCTGGGAAAGAGCAAGGTGACACGGGTCACCCAGGTATCCTACAGCATCCTGTGTCTCTCTGCAAAGCGGGGCGTGGGTGGAAATTTTGAAACTATTTTAAGTGCGTCCAAGGGACCTGACTCCTTACAGAACCCTCTGGAGAATTCTCTCGTCTGGTGAGGGAGGAGTCACTGCCTCTTGACTCACTCTTTCAGGCGGCAGCCGTGTGGACTCAGGGCTTGCGTGAAAACAGGCACAGGTGTGAGTTCTTTAAAGACTGAAAAAGTTGCGAAGTCGCCTGTGCGTACCAGGATTGGAACTTTGTTTTTCTCAATTTTATTGGTGAGGTTTCAGGATTCTCGTCCTTGGCGCGGTGCACAGAGGACCCTCGGAGGGAGGCCGTGAGGGATCGCGCACAGAGTGGCGGGTTGGGCTCTCGACTCCCTGTGCCACTCAGGTCCTGCCCTCTGCCGTGTCGTCGCAAAGCCCAGTGAAAGACGTGTCTGAGGGTCACCGTTTAACACAGCTTGAATGAAGTACTTTGCTGCTTCATTAGGGACATTTTCAGCGAAACTCGCTTTCTTTTTCTTCTTTGCTGCGTGTGTGGCCCCAGAGGTGCAGTGACCCCCGTGTCCTCGGTGCCGTGCCTCGGCTCCCGCACCGGTACCTTCCCTTGCGGCTGCCGCCTTGGTGACTGTGTCAGTCCTGGAAGAGGCAGGTTGTGGCTTCGTCTCGCTGCGAAGACGGTTTTGCTCTCACAGGCCTCCCGGCGGGGTCTCGGATCCTCAGGGGTGCCTCTGAGCCACACTTTGCAAACCGCCGCGGCACGGGCGGGCGCTCTGCTGTCCCGGCAGCCTTCCCTCACCACGCAGCCACACTCTGGCGGGCCTGGGTTCTGGAGCCATGTGCTGCTCGGCCTTCGTGTAAGAATCATGCCCCACTTGCGCCTTCTGTCTTCCTGCTGGGACGTGTCGGTCGTAAGCTGGGAACCGTTTGCACTGAGCTGGCGTCGAGTGCGTTGCCTGCAGGGCCAGCGAGCAGGTGTGTCTTTCTCTTACAGAGAGGATGGTAGGGGCAGCGTTGAATCTGGCCTGGCCTAGAACCCGAGGCCGGGACCTGAGTTCTGCTTCTGGCCATGTATCCAGTCAGCGGGAGCAGCGGGAGCGGGGAGTCGCTGAGGCCAGATCTGCAGGCTCGGGAGAACCATGTGTGTGTTGGGTCCTGTGTTTAGCGCCATCCACACCTGCCCCGTCTCAGCCTCGTCCTGCAGCTCTACAAGGGGGCTGCCTCTTCTTCCGCTCCTTCCAGCTTTCTAGAATGGCCCTATGGCCCCGTCCTAAAACCCACCATTGAGCGCGTGATCTCGTTGTTCTTTCAGACAGCTCACTTGAATTTAACCTAGAACGTGGGTTTTTTTCTTTAAAGTTGTTTTATTTTTGGGAGAGAGAGAGAGTGTATGAGCAGGGGAGGGGCAGAGAGAGAGAGGGAGAAAGAGAGAAAGTGAGACAGCCAACGGGGGAGGACAGAGGATCCAAAGCGGGCTCTGCGCTGACAGCAGCGAGCCCGATGTGAGGCTTGAACTTTCGGACCGTGAGGTCATGACCTGATCCGAAGTCGGACACTTAACGGACTGAGCCCCCCAGGCGCCCCTAGAACGTGAGTTTTATGCTTCCACTACGAAAACGTTCCTACGCTTGCTCGTATGTATGTAGTTCATACCGAGATTTGAAAAGGTTACGGGCCGTGAAGTGACGCGGCCACTTTGGGAAACAGACTGGCTCCGCCTCACAATGTACCACGTGACCCGGCGACTCGGTGGAGCGTGAGGTCCGGCAGACACTGCACACGAGGGCTCAGGGCACCGTGAGTCATAGCAGCCCCCACGGGAAGACAGCGCAGCTGTCTGTCAACTACAGAGTGGACAAGCACAACGAGGAGTGTCCTCACCGCGGAGCGTTACTTGGCCGCAAACAAGGGGCGAAGGACCGATAAGCTGGTATGACGCGGGTGGCCCGTGAAAACAGGCAGAGTCAACATTGGCAGGAGACGTCTGGAACGGACGGATCTGGAGAAAACGGGGGGCTGCCGGGGCCTCCCACCTGTCCCGGGGGTCCTTTGTGGGGTGACAGAAGCGCTTTGGAATCGGAGAGCGGTGAGGATTGCGCCGCGCGGGAACGACGCTGCAAACCACTGAATTGTACGCTCCGGACGGGTGAATTACGTCTCCCTGACGCTGATACAGGGACGTAACACGGGCTGACACCTCCACCCAGCCGCCCCTGACACAGCAGTGGGCATGGCGGCCGAGGGTGTTTCGCGCCCACGCTGCTGGCAGCTGAAGGCTGGTCCTGCCGTGGGGTCGGGCCGCGGAGGGCCTTGGGCGTCCGGCGAAACCAGAGCAGGCGGTGGGCGTGGGGTTGTTGATAATCGGTTCATAAGCCAGCCAAATGGATGCTTTCGAAGGAAGAAAAATGTGCTGGTTTGTACCTGGAGGGCTTCAGAAAATAGATGTCTTTTCCAGTAGTGTTCCACATGAACGCAGTAGCCACCCGGGGAGGCTATTCAAACCCGTGCGCTGACTTTGCTTCTGTGTCAGAAGGGAGGTGGTCCCTCCCGGAGCAGTGGAGCGGTTAAGACAGGCTCCTGAGGGGCCGGTCCTGGGCTGGGCCCCGGTGGCTGTGTCCCCACCCCCCAGGAGAGACTGTGCTTCTCTTTTTCATCTGGCAGGATATTTGGGGGAGAAAGTGGTCACTTTGGGACTGGCCCTCTCCGTTTTTGGCCTATGAAGTATCACAGAAAGGATTTCTGTTTACATTCATTTATCTCAGCGCCGCGGAATCCAATGGAGTGTTTAGAAACCTTGGGGCCCTTGTGGTTTTGCTAGCCAAGATCCTGTTCAACTTTGGCCAGTGCCAGGGTGGAGCCTCATGTTTACAAACACCAGCCACCCTTCCCCTCCTCCCTGGGACGCCCCCTCCCTGCAG